ACATGGCCTGATTGAATCCATTTCAATTCAAAATTCTGTTGATCAGAGCATGAATTGGAGTTTTTGCATGAAATCAAAATTATTTGAAGAAAAAGAAGAAGAGGGGATAGAATTCAAAAAAGGCAAGTGTACTCCTTTGACTCTAATGGTGGATGGCATAGATTGAGCTGGTAAAGTGAGACCTAAAGCGCGGGACAAGAGAATAAAGTTCCGTCACCATCAAGTCCAATTTACCGGCGATATTATATATATATATATTTTTTTTTTTTATTTTAACATATCAATTTTTTTTTTTTTAGGAAAAAGTACAGTGCGACAATACCAATTTAAGTAGCACCGATGACATGAACGATACGATTAATTAAATGGTCATCTATTCTTACATTTGATTATAGCTATCGTTTAATGATACATAAGATCAACCCTGCTATGGTGCCAGGGGGTTTGGTGACAGGTTGGTGCCCGACCTCTCACATGGGGGTCGGGCCCTGAATTTTTTGAAAATATTTTTTTCACGCGGGGCCCATGCTACAGTGAGGGGTCGGGCACCAACTCCTCTGGCCATCCGGATTAATCCTACATAAGATAGTGTTTTAACACTATTATACTAGATAGCAGTATTCTTTAAATAAGAAGATGCCAACATAATTTTGAAATATTTACATCTTATCATTCTCTAAGAGATAACTGATCCATCAGCAGATTTCGACTCCACAAATATCTATGATTTGGAAAATAAAAAATTAAGCCCATGTTTGAGCCACGTTTTAGGGGGGGAAAAATATATTATTCATGTCAAATTAATGGGAAATGTGTGATTAAAAAATAAAAAAAAAGTTTTAGATTTATGTGAAATATTATTTTATTGAAGAATGTGTGGTTAAAATGATATCAAATCACTGTTGAAAAATGTATTTCTTTGAAAATAATGTAACTCAAACAATGCCTAAGTATGTAAGTAGTTAAGTAAGAATAACAAAATTAGCCCAATTTCCATCTTCATCCTTGCATCCTTTATATATATATAATAAAAATAAAAAATGGGTTGTTCCTGTTAAGATTTGAGATTCAATCTTAAAATGTCAACCTTGTTAAGAGGAATAGTCCAAAGTCTTATAAGTTGGTATATATTTTTATTTTTATTTGATGTGGAATTTTATCCCTTAATATTTTCTCACAAGATGGTGGCTCGTTTGAGCAGACCAATTTTGAAATTCGTATGCTTATTAATTGAGTCTTTAATCGGATCGAAACGCTCGTTAAAGTTTAATGGGCTCTAATACTATATTAAGATTTGAGATTTCATCTTAAAAAGTCAACATCGTTAAGAGAAGTAATCCAATGTTTTATAAGTTGGTCTATATTTTTATCTTTAGTCTCCTTCTCACCACCCCAGCCAACCCCACCCTTCTTTTCCCACTCCCATCGGTAATAGTCTACAACGAAGTCGACGATGGGTGTGAGGAGTTGTCAGCAACTCTTGAGTTCGCGAGTTTTGGTTGTTATTCTGGCGACATTTGGTGGAGTTAGGGTTAGTGGCTGGATGGGATATGTAGAGGAGAATGAAGGGTTTTCGATGATGTGTGGGTCTGATGATTTTGAGATTGGTGCCGACGGCTGGAAGCTATGCTGATGGGTGGCGATACTAATGGTTTTATTTCTTCTCTCTTTTTCTTTTTCTTTTTTTATTTTGCTTTGTTTTATTTTATTTCTGGTTTTTAAAATTACTTTAATGTATAAAACAACAAAGTTACCATTTTACGCATTTCATTTTGGTCAAAACCCACTTTTGTTGGTCAATTAACGGTCAAATAAATGGGTTTTCATCCATTTGTACCCCAGTACTTATTTCTCAAAGGTTATGGACATTTGTTGGCACAAATTGAAAATTATAATAAAATTTACAAAAAGTGAAAGGTTAAGGACTGCTGTTGCAATTTTCCATATATTTAATTATATCTTTTCTTTTAAATTTGTTGACGGTGATATATGTCATTCAAATTCAAACAATTTTTTCTATTGCTTAAAATCAGTAAGTGGGATGCACTTAATGAAGCCAAGAAATTCCAAAAGAAAAAAATGATGAATTATTGACTTAAAGTAACAGATAGTGGCATGGGACGAGGAATCCAAGACAATAAACACTGGCGACAACAATATTTGATATATAAATGGGAAAAAAGAAAAGTAAATAAAGAAAAGTATTGTAAACACACATATATATAATTCTTCGAGACATAATTCAGTGGTACAAATGACAGAAGTAAGGTAGTCTCAACCATGCTGACAGTCGCAGCATGAGGATTCGATTCTTGAGATATGGAATTAAACTGTTTGTAGGTATTAGTGTATGGGCAAGCTCTTATTCCCTGATCTGCTGAGACATATCCCGCGATTTACCTCTTTCACGATACTCTAAGGGCAGGGCTATAAGGTCGGAGTTCAACCTTTATATATATATAATTATTTTGATTCAATTAATGCAGGAAATAATTGCAAATTATTGTGATGGTATTGAAGGGCAACGAAAACATGTTAGTGGTCTGAACATCATTAGGAGACAACACAAAGGTTTTCAATCAATGTTAAATAACTAATTAATAAGAAAAAGTCTATTGGCGAAAAGTGTCTGGCTCTCAATTTTCTAGCATGCCCAATCATCAATCAATTCACATCATAGCTACATTTATTTATGTCCAATTTTTCATTAGATAAATAGTCGATACGAATATTGCTTGCTACTCTCGATATATACAATAAGAATGGGAAGTAGTGACCGAGCTAGACTCGAATACAGTAAAGACCTACTTTAACCTGGGAAAAAAAATTCAGATACAAAATAAATGATATTTTTTTGGGGAAAAAAATGTAACAGAAATCCCCCATTCCCTCCATTGAATGGAAGTGCTATCTTTCCATTTTTGGTATGTTTATGGAAAATGATTTTTGAACACTTTTTTTAATCATCCAAGTTCTCTTGTGCATACTGTAAATGAAAATTTTCTTCTCCAGTGAATGAATGGAAGCAATTTTTTTAATGAATTAATAACTTGGACTGATCGTGTGATTAAAGTGAAGTGCCAGCATTTGCAATGATTATGATTATAACACAATTGTCTTCTTCAATACTATTTTGGAATAAATTTGGTATGCATATTGATTGTACGCCAAGCAAAACTTGATATACATCAAGTCTTCTGTCAAAATTGACATTCCAAAATATGTTCAAGTATTGGAATAAGAATTAATCTGCACGTATAGGGGACTTCTCACAGGGTATGTACAGGTACTCACATGGGATGTGGGTCCGAAGTGGGACCCCATGTAATAAAATATTACCAAAAAAAAAAAAAAGAAGAAGCTGACTCACCACATTGTGAGTAACCTGTAGAGCTTCTATTGAAATTCTTTCTGGCAGTGTAGTGCTACTCTTGGAATAATCTCTAGGTATTTACCTACCAAATGAAATGAAATAGTAGGTAGACATAGATTTTAGCATTATTTGTGTTAAATTTATCCAAAACTTTTCTATGCACACTAATTTAAAAAAATAAATCCTTAGGTGTTCATGATAAGAATAATCTTAATTAGACCCAAATAGAATTTAATATTACCATTGGAGCAACATTCATATGTAGTCCAAAGAGAATGGACACAGCTCACCTAGTTAGTTGCGACATATATGAAAACGCATGTTACAGAAGATAGGGTCAAAATTCTATACAAAATACCAAAATAAGACTTCTTTTGTTTTTTTAATAGTTTTTTAGTCATTATAGCAATAGGAGGAATAAACAATCTACAAGTTTAGGGTGTGTTTGATTTGCGTTTCTATTTTTTGTTTTCAGTTTTAAATTCATTTTCTATATTTTTATTTTATTTTGAGAGATTATTTTAAAGTTGCAGAAAAAAATATTTGATTTGTCATTCGGAAAAAACCGTTTATCCAAAAAAAAAAAAAAATTAGGAAACGCTTTTGATTTAAAAACTTTAGAAATACTTTTATGACATTTGGGAGGAAAATGAGAAAAAAATAATTTTATGACATTTTGGAGGAACTTGGAAAGAGAGAGATAGAGAGAGGGAGAGGGGTATTTGTATTTAGGTAAGTTTTGTGTGATTTTATTAATATTTTAATTTGAAAATTTTTAAGTTCATTTTCTTTTTTTGAATTTTTTGAGTATTTACGTTGAAAACATTCAAAACATCGAAAAGTCATTTTGAATTTTGTGCAATAAAATTTTCCTTATTTTGAAAATCGTATTTTTGAAAATAACATACCAAACACATTTTGAGTATTTTCGAAAACTGAAAACTGAAAATCACTTCAAAATGACAAGTCAAACACACTCTTAGTTTCTTAGTAACTCGGGAAAGAACGGTTTTCTCCTAGTCATATAAGGTATAACCCCTTTCAATAAACTATAGTAAGATTTTTTAGATGCCACTTTATTCTCAAGTAAAGGCCTCTATATTTAGCATACATGCAGTGTGTGATGGAATCCTGGACAGAACAAATCATGATTAAAAAATATTTATTCGTCATCATGTTTGGTTTAATACACAAAACATGTCCATGATGTCATAATGCACAAAATTGCGAACTTAAGATAAGAGTTCTTCTTGGTCATTACTCTACAAACCTCGAAAACTCTGTAAAGAAATCTAGTATTTATCCTTCAAGAATGGAGGGTGTTGCTTCCTAAGACATGAATTAGGAAATAATTTACTCCAACACCTAACAGTAATGCAGTTGACATATATAACATGGATGCTTGTATGAAAAGTTGATCCGGACCCGACAAAATTAATCATCCATCATAAGTGGAGAACGGTATAAATAGAAGAGAGAACTGTTGCTTGTGTATGGTTGTTCAAACACTAAACATACCCATCTTCAATCATCAGTATATGCACTCAGGTTTCCATTGACGGGCACCTTGCTTCAAAGTAACAATTTGATGAATATATATATATATATATATCTATATGCCAAACGTGCCAAGGAAAATTTGCCTAGTTCACCATCATAACTTGATCGTTTCTTACACTGTACATATTCCAATAACGGGGCTAAGAGGTTCAAAAAAAGGAACAGATTAAGACGAGAAGGAAAAATCAGAGTTATACAATGCTCGCTCAAAATCGGGTTCATCCACTGTATGCTCTGACCTAAATCGTGATCTTAAAGCATAAAGCACATCATATGTGCTTATTTTGCACTAAATTCATCTTTGACGAACGGGAGGTGAGATGACGGTGTTTCGAGCCAAGGGTAACAAGGCTGGAGACATGCCAAACTACATCTGTTACTAGAGCCCAAATCCAAAAATAGTGCAAAGAATAATTAACACACAATGACTCACCCGGGGCAAAATCTTTATCCAACTACAAATCCTCCCTATATGTGAGTACTCGTGAGATTTGAATAATCAATCTCATATTTCTATTATAAAAGGAAAAAAGAATACACCCACAAACACAAATCTTCCTTTTGCTTTGTCTCAGAAGATTCTTGCATGGAAATATCAATATCCGCTTCTAACAAAAGATTCCGTGGAATTACAAATCTCTACAGTTTTGAAACTTCCACTAGCATCTTTAAAAGTAATTGTCGTATGAACACTATTTTTCTCCTAGTTAAACAAGAGGTTGAGCCACGTATCAATTTTTCCCTGCAAAAAAAGGGAGTCACCTCGAGTCAACTTCATAGAGAAACTTCACTCATTTCATTAGAAAGTGCTCTGTGGAACACGGATTCAAACTATCTACCATTCAATCTTTGTCATCTTAGGCTGGCAACTGCAGTTTTGCATTAGTTTTCCAGCTGCAAAGTGATTGCTTGGTTAGTATGTCTAAAAATGGCTAAAATTTAGTAACCAGTGAGAATGGATAGGTCATAAACATGCCCAAAGGCTTGTCACCTGATGAAGTAGTAGTAGAAGAAGTCTGCATAAAGAGCAGTTTGGACTAGGCCAGCAAAGCAAGCTGAGCAAAAGAAGAATGTTTATTAGTCAATGCAAACAAAAGAGTCATCCCACCAACTGTGTGATTGTTTGGGAAATATTATAATGACATTATAACAAAGAGTATTGGATTCCACAAAAATGTGTGGACAAAAGTGGGTAGTAGTTGTGAATGTGGTTAAAATTAATGTTTAAAAGATTATAATGAAACCACTTTGTTTCATGACTTACAAATCCATCGACTGAAATGCTGCCCTGTGAAATACCGGTAGATCCAATTCAGGATGTAGAATGCTCGATAGGCCCTGTTGACTCGTAAGACATGAGATTTTTCAGAATCTTGGACTTAATAATCCACATGTAATATCTATGAAAGATAAAACGTATCAGGGTTACAAGGTTACAACGGTGGACTGATAACAAATTGCATAAACTACTGATATTATTCCAGTAAATATTTAAGTGCATTATTTAGTTAGGATCACTTCAAAATTTCAGCAGCAATTTGAACATATATTTTACAAAATCATGGAGAAGCTACAGCTACAGCACGGAGGTAAGGCATCATTAATGCCTAGTAAAAGTGAGAGATAGGAAACTCTTACATTTGGCTAAGCACTGTCATATTAGATATGTTTGGATACTTATGGTCCATATTTCAAATTGGATAAATCACACAACATATAAATTTCAAAGAGAAAAAAATTACCCAAGGAAGAAAACATATTGTCCTGTCAGATTGTCCACATTTCCACTCCTTTGCAACAGAACCAATTGGGGGATAATTGCAATAGCCTCCAAGTATATTGAAAATGCCCAAAATATCTGGAAAAACATCTAATCAAATTACAAATCATATAAAAAGATGATGGTGCAATATATAATATCGGTAATGCAAAATTGATAGATCATCCATATATTTAAGCTAGAAGGATCGCACCATAGCAAGGTAATGCAATTAAGTGCAACAGGATTGGCATTTTAGATTAATTAGAAATAAGAAAACAGATGTGCTAATTAAAATATTAAGCCTCAGGTTGGCAAATTTATAAATGGCTTATAAATATGATAGTACGAGGAATAGTAGTGAGTCCAAGGAAAAGCGTGAATAATAATGTGTAATAGCTATGAATGTGTGGTTGAAATTAATATTTGACCATGACTGAATTTATGAACCAATTTATAATTGTATCCAAATGGAGTGTTAAAAATTAATTGAAATCTCAATGTTGATTTAAAACAGAATATAGTCTAGCAAGCACGCACTCCTGTAAAATAAGATCACGTATAGAACAAGCCTATTAAAAAAAAAAAAGGTGATTTCAAAAAGTAATGTACATATACAGTATAAATAATCAACTGCAAGGGTTAACAAGCATAAATGTATCCATGAATTAACTTGAACAAGCACGCACATTTAAGTGCGAGAACCAGCTGAGAACAATCAATACAATTTTTATATATCACTCACACCACACTCAGTTCAAGCACATTTTTAATTGGAGCCACAATTTTGAAAGATGTGAAGAAAGTTTTAGCAAAGCAACTCCAGCTCTCGTGTGAATGTAATGGTTTATGTTCTAGTGACCTCAGATAGATACCTGTACTGATCAGATTAATTAGGACATCCCCAATGCCATAAATGTGTTCTACAAGAAAAACTTTAGTCTTCAAGAGACGTTCTCATTTATAAGTAAGATCCAGCCAGACAACACTTGAGACTACATTCAACAGCAATCCAATACTCAAAAAGAAAAGTGCTAGTGTCATAGCAGAACATGTAAGGATGTTCACTATTATGTGCACGTGTGAGTGTGTGAGAGTGTGTGAATTTGAGAGAGAGTTGGGGGGGGGGGGGGGGCGGTGGGGAAATTAATCTAAAAAGACAGGGAGAGGGAGAAGATCAAGATAAACTGAGGAGGCTGACCTCCTGAAATGTAAACTTCTCATGGACAAGAAGTGCCAAGAGAAAGCTCGCCCCGACAAGAAAATAATGCCTGAATGTGTCTAGCTGATGGTCATATGATCGCCTCACAACTCGATGGAACCGCATACACCACAAAATTGCTAGAGAGCTCCCGATGAATACTAACTTCATAATGGTGTTGTACACTGAAATAAAGTCAGTAAACAAATCTAGATACCGAGCCAAGAACACAAGTGCATACAGCTCCTGTGTCTTCAACGAAATTCCTGTACAACACAAAAGTACATTTAATTTCACCTCTCAACTGAAGAAACTACAGATGCCTATCAATAAAGCCAGATACATGCATACAAACACAGAATTGAAGACCTGAAAATCTTCATCTTTATTTACTAAAAAAGAGCTAGAGATATGCATTTAAGAGAACACCTGCACAGGGAACAAAACGTCTCCTATTCCTCTGGTTACTGACACATATAAACCCTAAAGTCTATTTGCGATACTAATATACATTCACTAAATAAAGTAAAAGGGAGCTGCATTCTTCTCTTCAGACTTACTTATGCTTGAGGGAATTTAAAATGGATGACAAATTATAGCACCAACATGCTACTAAATAAATAAAGGAATGCAAGCACTTATTTCATATAAATACTCAGAGAAATGCAAAGCAAATGTATGTATATAAATGTACACACGGTACCAGAAAGATATTGGACATTCATGAGCCTTCATGTAAAACATATGTGAGCACACGACAAACTCTTCAGATAACGTATAACTCGAATGCTTTTCCCTCAACAATGCATTGGACTACATGTAATAAAATTGGAAGCTTTTGTGTATGTATATTATCTGCATTGTAAATAGTATGGCAATTTTTCATTTTTTTGTCGACAAATTTTGGATTTATCGAGAAAAAAAGGAAAATGCACCCCATCTGTCTTATTATTTTGTAAGAATGTGATTTTATTATAATATAAAAAAGGGGACAAATTATGGAAGAAAATTGTCAGAATAATGGATGAAGTCTTCAGAAAGTATGGTTGTCTCTCAATTTCTGGGAGAAACGTGAAATTGTGTATTACGACAGAGAATGACAAGGCATAAATATGAAAAGGCATGTGAAGGGCCGGTTATATGTAGACAGTAGACTTATAGCTCAACAACAGTAGAAAAGAGCAAGAAAATACGGATTTAGGTTTTTTTGGATCATAAACTGGAAAAACGTATTGATTAGACATTTGCCAATCAAATAACTTTTATGGATATGTAAAATGTTTACATACATGTACTAGAGAAATATATCCATATATGCGCATGAAAACACATACGTACATTCATATATGCATCTGTGTGTGAAGAGAACTCATACAAGCTGGCCATTCTGCATCTTTGAAAATGATTGATAAATTGAGATAGACATCGTAAATACTTCAAATTCTGCCCTCATACCTCAAGTGAATGTAAAAATTAAAAATTAACACCAATAATAAGACACTTAGCACCAGTGAGACAATTAAACAAACAGCAAGTACAGATCGGTCAAATAAAAATCAGAAAACTAATGTTTTACGAAATTCAGCTCCACCGACACAATAATTCTTATAAATCACATAATTGAAAAATTAATATCAAAAAACATATAAATAAACACCCAAATACATAACCTCGCGTATTTGTATACATTAATTGTTAATTAACCAAAACCATGGACCACGTATTCAAGCTTTTACTCCGAAAACGAAAGCAAATTTCAATAATGCGCGAAATGGAATTCAGTCCTAACAAACAGTATAAAATAATCAGTACATAACCCTAAATAAAAATGCATACATAACCCAGTTAAAAGCATCACCTGAGCATGATTTAGTAGCATAGATTTTAAGAAGAAGAACTAAAATGCTAATCAAATGTGTCATGTCCCCGATGAATCTAAAAATATTCATGGTTGTAAAATTTGGACAAAAATCGAGAGGAAGAGGGAGGGCTTCAAGTTCAAACGAATTATAAATTGGAATCTCGATAGGAGAAAGAGAGTTATTGGGCAGTTTTACTTTCGGGGTTCTAAATTTTATATGGAAAATGGAAAATTATAAAAGATGGAGGGAGGTGACGTGGAAAATCCAGAGAGTGTTAGCGTGACGTACAGCTGTCTGGTTTGTGCGCTTCGAATTATTCCAACTCGAGACGAAATAAATGAGGTGGCAACTCATAATAATAATAATAATTCTTGAAAGAATTTTGCTATTGTACAAAATATGATACATAAATGATTACAGAAAATAATGTGAAAGAAAAAGATTAGATAAAAAAATTGAATGTATTTTAAATTGACAAATGATATAATGTTACATAAAAATTATGTAATCTATTATTCAAGTCCTTGTTATAAACTAGAGAATAAAAGAATGAAGCAAATAAATTTTTGTATTTTATTAGGAACCAAAACTCTATTTTTATAAGGAAGAATTAGAGCGACAGGGAATACAATAGTCATAATGAATAGAGTTGTAGGGGTGTAAAAGTCATTCATAAATACTATTATCTTTAAAACATTTCCCCTTAAATGATTATTTATACAATAAAAATTTCATCGACATTATTTGACAAAAATATTATAGGACAAAACCCTTAGGGGTAGTTCAGTGATTAGACTTTGAGTTTACTCTCCAATGATCACCAATTCGAGTTATCTTAAGGTCACAAAGGTGAGTACCCAATTGTAGAGATTAGTCGAGGTGCGTGTAAATTGGCCTGAACATCCACGGTTATAATAATAATAATAATAATAATAATAATAATAATAATAATAATACATCCACGGTTATAATAATAATAATAATAATAATAATAATAATAATAATAATAATAATAATAATAATAATAATAATAATAATAAATCTGATAGGACAATAATGGCAACAAATAAAAAAAGAAATTAATTTGGAGTTGTGTACTACTGTCTCATTAAAATCTTATTAAGAAAATTCAGTAGGACAAAATTTAATCGAAAAAAAAGAATACAATTACTCTCCCAGATTTCAATTCTTGTATTAAGCGATCCATTTCCTGTATGTCAATATCTTCAATATTGATGTCTTGTACGTTAACGTTTTTAAGAAAATCAAGTGAGAAAAAACTTGATTATTGTAGTAACATGATTGTTCAAAAAATAGTTCATGTTCATCTCCTCAAGAGCCTTATACATATACTAGTCATTTGTCCATGCAATGCATGGGCTGTATTATTTTTGAGGAGACATTAGCGTGTTGAATTTTAGAAGTTTGAAGAGAGATGTATATTGAAGATTCATTGTGTCTAGATAAAATTGCATATTATTAGTATAAAGGGTGGATTACTTCTTGAATACAGAACACACCTGGGTTTGATAATTATTGTGACAATACGAAGAAGAAATATATTCACACTATATAATCACAATATAGGATCATTTGTGTAAAGGAATTTTACCACTTGCACAAAGTCCGTTGATACAGTCAATTGCCTAAAAAAAAATGATTAAAAATTCAATATATGCACACATCATATAATTAAAAATGATAACACATGCACAGTTGATCAAATCAAGTAGTTGCATTGTCCTAACTAAAACTAAGTTAATAAAATCAAACTTAACGTACATTTCTACATATAGAAACAATCAATCTATTCTGATGCCCTTGATCATCTTACTTGGATATCTCATATAAACAGCCACTTGTTCAGTGATATTTTTGAAGTGTAAAAAGTCAATTGTTGACTGTTGTACATTTCATTGCACAAGACAAAATTCAAGTCTTATAAGTAAAACCTGATTAAAGGCGTGTAATTTACCATTAATAGTAGTAACCCAGTTATTAATTATGTTTTTCTTTGCTATTTATCGATTGATTTATTTCAAAAAGATGTCATTCTGCAAAATAAAAAAGTCCAGCAAATGATCAAGATCCCATAAAATGAAAAGTAAATTAATAGTGAAACAAAGTCATTCCAAAAGTCAAAGATGCAAAACGTAGTCAAACAATATAAGCAATAGGTACAGTGCATTGCACTTGGTAGAGTCGTAATTGAATATTTGTAGTGTAGAATAAATATAAGTATGTTTTAAACTAATACTTAAAGTAAAAAAGCAAGTAAACTCTCCTTTCCTAAATATTTTTCAAATAAATATGATTTACCAATTTGTATCTAATACTAATTGAATTTGATCTAACTGTATTCTTCCCCAAGACTATAACAACAATTGAAAACTCACTGACATAGCTGTAGGAATTCCTCATAATTCTTGGGTGCAATTTTTTCCTCGATGACCAATCTTTGTTGTCCATCAAGTGATCATTCCCATCTTAGCCTGACAAAACTTACTGACATAACCTCGATGAGAAAACACACACACACACACACAGAGGCTGACATTATTTTTTAAAACAGAAATTCGAACACGAAAATTTTAGCTCCCATTTTGGTTGTTTTCCACTACATTGACAGCTAAAAAGAAAAAGAGAATAAATGAAGGAGCAAGAACAAGATTACTTTTGAGATTCAATCCCTTATATATATGTATATAGAATGTAAGAATAATTCATATTTGGAGATGAAAAGTTAAGCCCCTTTCAATAGGTATGAAATGAGTATTCAACTGATTTGCTGCTGTTGAGTTGTATATAGTGAAGATTGGAAGAAATCATAATGCTCCTGATATGCAGATCTCTGTGTAAGATATGCTTATATTAGAAAGCAGAAAACAACAGTAATACCGGAACCAAGATCTTAATCTTAATATCTTACAAATGTAATTTAGATGTCATGATTCTCAAACTTTCCTGTGATGGCTAGGTTACATGTGAGTAATTTAGCACAAACTGATACAGAGATTTCTCCATGGTTTACTTGACAACTTGCATCTATGGCTAAAGGTATAACAGGAAGCAAATGATTGATATAGTCCTTAAATCAATAGAAAACACAATTAACATGAACGATATCACACATATAAACTTTATATTGGAAGGAAACAAAATCACCCATATATGATATATCATGAACATGCGAAAACAAATGAGAGGAAACAAATAATTATTTAATATTATCATTATTATTGACGTCTAATATGTGTGTTCTTATATACAGATCTATCTACATAGTTAAGATTAGACATCGATTACTTGCTACGATGACTAAGGAATTTCACAGTATGATCTATATGTGCAGAATATGTGATCTTAAAGGTACATGGTCCAAGCTCTGGAATTAGATACCTAGTACATCCGGGAAAAGAAAATCAACATAAAAAAGGAGAGAAGAAAAAGAAAAAGAAAAAGAAACACTAAAAGTTTGTAATGGCTCACAAATGATATGTAAAATTGAAATGCAAAATAATTTCAAATTTGTGGAACATGAATGGAAGGAATTATGAACTACGTTCTACCCTAAGACATTCTACATTACTAAAATGGCATGTTTTATTCCTGAACAAATGAGAAATATGGAAAAGACATGATATGTGTCCAAAGCCATTAAGCATATAAAGCAAGTATGGTTAGCCAAAAAAATCCCTATGCACTCGATGACAGCTTATTATTGTTCTCTTTCATCTACAAATCATATCTTAGATCTTCTACTATTTTATATTTCATAACACTCATCCCAACTAAAATCATAATTATTTGCATCATTCATCAAGGCCACAACCATAATGCTAGGATGGTATATATTATGGTCTAACCCAAACAGACTGAGCATGAAAGGTAAAGGCAACTTAATAACTGAAGAAAGGAGAGGTAAGAGTAAAAAGCATGCAGGTACCTCTTTAGTAGCTTTTTAGAAACTCTCGAAAGATGTGCAGCCCCAATATATGTGCACCACATCTAAAAACATATGATCCGTTGCAGTTTGGGGTACATCCCAAGCCAAAATATAAATCTCAAATCACCTGGGAATGCTTCTTCCATCAACAGCATCCTTCGCAGCAGAGGCTGCCTTTGAATAATAAAACTACAATAAGTCAAAACAATAGAGGAAACAATAGGAATGTTAAATTTTGAAGGAATTAGAGTCCTTAAAGCAACTAGAAACCAAACAAAAGCTCAGAATTAGATATACATGTTCTCAAGAAGCGTAACGACCAAATAACGAAAAATGATGCTAACATGCAATTCAACCATCAATTGAAAAAAAAAAAAAGAAAAAAGAAAGGAAAAGAATAAATAATTGAATAAAAATTTATTGATTTGAAGAGACAATATTTAAGTACACAATCTAAAAGAAACTACCAGAATATCACAATATGGAAGAAAACAATTAAGCACACCATGTCACCATATCCCAACGCCTGTACACATATATAAGTGCATAATACATTATTAAGAACACATAATAGTGACTGTTAAAACAAAGTTTAACCAGCAATCTTAACATACTATCCATTTCCCGAAATGAAACAAGCTACTGAACTTAAATAAAAGAGAACACAAAATGAAGTAGAATATTTCATTATTTATCTCAATGATACACTTCCCTTGTGGATTCCATCAAATAGTATTGTAAGGTCCATTCCAAGCCCAAGTAGAGGATTGCATTTGTTACCGAATATTGTCACCATTGCAGGCATAATTGACATCAGTAAAGGCACACAAAGAACCAACCTGAATGATATATCTATTCTCTTATACAAGTTGCCAAATTTTTTTCTTCCAACATAGATTGATGGTGCCTGGACATTTTTCGAGAGTATCATTCATGATAATATTTGATTGTGAACAAAATAAGAAAACTACAATATCCTTAAAATGATGTGAAAGCCCTTTTGAGCTGTAGGTGACCAACAAGGCAATCAACAATCTCACTATCACCTGATGTTTCAAGCATCAAGAATAGATGATATTCACCTTAACCACCTTAGTTGAATCAATGAACACCTCTTAAGGTCAACATTCCAATAATGAGAAAAATGAGGAATCGAGGACTATAAGCATTTATTGAAGGATGCATCACGAACAAAGAAAAAACTATAATAAGTTGAACAATTTTGAACATCACACTACAAACAAAGCACACGATCATTATCTTGATGGCAA